GTAATAAAAGCCTAATATCCAAGAATTCAAGGATAATAGTGCGATTCGAATCTCGGTCCACTCTTTAATTGAACTCAATGATGGATGTGACAGAGTCAAAGGTTGTTGCAATTGCTGCCACTTGTTTTCAGTCTCATTGAAGAGTTTTGCTTCCCTGAGATCATTCAGCCAAGAAACTGCTAAACCGATCAAAAGCAATTCTGCTCTCAGACAGCAAACGGAACAGAAAGTTAATGGAATCATCAAAGAAGTTCGGAAAGCGCAAGGCAAGAGTCTTAGGACGACAAGCCCACAACAAACAAGAAACCAGATGAATTGACGAATATCCACAATCCATTGTTAACTTCAATGTCTCCACGTCAACAGCAGCAGCACAGACTTGAAGGGGAAACAGAAGGTCGTCCGTTACCTTCACATAGAAAGGTGCGGGGTACTTTATGTGGAGTGAAACTGTCAATGGGGTCAAATCTGATAGCATTTTGTTCAACTTGATAAACCAATAGTGCTCGACTGGCATATGCAAGATAAACGACACACCATTTGAGTTTGATTTTTAGGCAAGATGACACAATTTGTCACCAAAGACGGATTGGCCAGGATTTCTAATTCATCAAAACTAGTATCCAAGAAAGTGAGATTTGGAGTATCAATCTCTACTTTCTCGGGCGGTGGTTTTGAACTAGAGAAAATGTGGACGATTTCGATGTGCTTCAGGCAGTGACTTACAAGGTTATTTTTATCAAATCCAAAGAAACTATCGACCTTGAGAAACTCAATATGCGGAAACCTGTTCACCAAGGTACTGAAAAACGTAGGTCTGAGACATGTCGAGTTCAATGACAGCTTCTTCAACTAATTATTTTGAGCACGTGCATGCAACTCATGTACTTGGTGCGGAAGCCGGCATCGGCAATTAAGACATAGCTCTGTTAATGAAGAAGAAGATGAAGATTCATCATCTCCAAAGATGATATTCTCCGGTAAAGTATACATTAATGTACTCCCCCAAATTTGCTCGACAGAGATCCGAAGCACCTTCAGGCCTTTATCTACAGCTATTCCCAGCCATCTGTCAATTAGAAGATTGTCAGCAGGGTTGGTCAAAATCATAGAAAGATTTTTCCTCTTGAATATGATCTCCCTATCTTCCCAATGTGCTGCTGACATAATTCTCGAACCTCTGGCTGTAGTTTAAGGAATCTTCTTGGAATTGCTTGCAGCGGGCGCCCTTGCTTAGTTTATGGGCACTTAAATTATTGGTGTGTTTTTGAAGAAGAGATAATGAAATTCCAATATAGGTTTGTTAAGCCATGCACTCAACCAAGCCTTGGATAGAACACGAGCTCTGGCTTGCTCTTTTGCGTTGAGGTATGAGAGGATAAGCTGGATAATATCCTCCGGCATCCACTGCAGCCGTGATATTGCTTCTTCCATGGCTTTGGATCTCCACGAAACTGATAATGATTTCCGGCTGCTCGTTTAGTTTAGTTTAGTTTTAGTTACCCTTCTTGCGCAAACCCTACCACTACTTCTTAACATCATAGTACCTGTATCCTTAGCATAGGAGTATTACTTATCCTTAGCAGAAGAGTATTACTCAGTCGATTTAGGAAAAGGATTTTAATATGGAAGGCGGTTTACTTTTTTTTTTTTTTTTTCCTTTCCTATTTTTGGGCTTTTTACACAGTAATCTACTTTAGTTAAGAATCCCAAAATTAATTAGTTTAACATTTATAGCATATACATAGGAGAAACCTGTCAACCCTGCTCCCAAAGTGCCATTCTGGGTGATGGGAGATGTGTAGAAAACCTTCTTTAGTATCAGGGTTGGGTGGTCGATGAGAACTTGTAAGTCATATATGGTCCTAGGAATGTATCGTGAGGCTGTGGTAACCGGAATCGAATTCACCGTAACCCTACCACTAGTTCTTAACACAGTGCCTGTATACTTAGCATAGGAGTATTACTTTGTCAATTAAGGAAAGGATTTTAATATGGAAGGAGGTTTACTTCTTTTTCCCCTTTTCTTTTGGGCTTTTTACAAAAGTAATCTTTCCCCTTAGTTCAGAATCCCAAAATTAATTAGTTAAACATTCATAGCATATACATGGAAGAAATCTTTCTGTCCTGCTCCCAAAGCGCCCTTAGTTCCAAAATATGCCATATATAGTTCCAAAAATATGTTCTAAGGTTGTGATGAGCGAGTCGAATTCATCCAAATTTTATATGTAATTATATACGTGTGTATATATCTTTCTTACATCTTTTAAGAGCATACTCTTACTTTTTTTTTTTTTTGTATAAATTCATTCAATCACAAACCTGTAAAAAACAAGTAAACAGACTCATATTAGTCAGACATGAAAATTTAAGTATCTTTCCAAACGCATTTAAGGAAAACAGAAAATGGAACTTAGAAGGAAAAAAAAAAAGAATATTAGAAAGGTCAGATTTTCTAAATCACTTCAATAAACGTCTAAGTCTAGTGAGCTTGTGATGCCAAGTAGTTGCTTAAATCAATTCAAGAAAACCACCGCCAACAGCCACCCAAATTAGTTTGCATGCATCAATTGTAAACATGTAGACGAATAGTGAATTTTGGTTGGGGAACAGAGAGGACTTGAGATGAAAATTACTAAGATGGATGCAGAAAATAATGTACGCACTTTTGGTCGCAATTTGAAGTGCATGGCGCTCTTATGGTCACTTTCATGAGTTCGGCAAGTTTTGATAAGACCTCCATGCAATTGGAAATGTCACTGCCAAAATCGGTGATAGTTGTTTACTTAAGATTTGACAAGATCGAGAAGTGGTGATGACCGGGTCCGACTAATACTCTCCATTTTACGCATTAACAACACGACAATTCCGCCTATAGTCTCCCTTCTCCCGTTCGTAAGAAACTCCAATGGCACTAAGTTTCCTCATCGATCGAGAGTGAAAAAGAAAACAGGGATTCTGGCTCGATGGGGTGAAGGAAAAAACCATGAATTCTGGAGTTCTGATGCTGTTCTAGCTGAAAGGGAATTAGTTAGTGAGGTTGAATATGATTGAATTACTGGCATGTAATACCTTATCATTCTATTCATGGGATTTCAGCTAACTTTTGTGATTGTTTATTACGTACATATTCAATGGCATGGACGCTCTTTGACGGGTTGAAATCAAACAGAATTGATCTGTTCATTTAGAAAAGCGAACGTTTATGGCAGACGTACACATTACTAGTATTCATTAATTTTTCTACTAACACAGAACTGCATGTAAAAAAGCACTAGCATGGTCGGACCTTTTTTCTGCCAATAACAAAGAAGTGGATGCACTTTGTCCTGCACATGCCAGGGCACTGAAAGTGAATTCGAGATTAAATTTGTAAGCCTCAAGATGCCAACCCTTGGATCATCGCTAGAATTAGGAGATGCATCCCATTCTAATCTGAAACGAATCTTAACAATGCCCTCAAACTTCTTTAACTCGTCTAGGAAATTATTCCAATTCAGAAACTTTTTCTGCCACTCTTCTTGATGGAAGGTATAGATCTCCATTTCTACCTCCTTTAGATGATTGCGCCAAACTTTTATACCAGCTGACTCACAGAAAGAACTCCCGGTTTCGGCTCTTATCCAACCATGGTTCAAAGTCGCGGTCGCGGCTCAGACCGTTCCACATCGGTCTTGGCATATCGATCGCGGTTTCGGCGAGACGCAATTTTTAAAATATTTAATATTCTAAAAATTGTAAAAAATATGATAAATAAAAATAATTTAAAAATAACAAAAAAATAAAAATTTGAGTTGACTTGGAGCGACTCGGCCGTTTTTATCTGTTTCGAAGACGTCTCGGACGAGTTCTCGGCGATTCATTATCTCGAAATTATCTCGTCCCGATATATGATCGGGAAGCTCCGTTCCAGTGACGTCTCGGCTGAGTCTTTGAACCATGTATCCAACAGCTTCAGCAGGCACACAACCACCAAGTTCTCATTTAAATGTTTGGGACTGGTATAGAGGACTGAAAGATTTAGGCTGACAAGGCCAAAATAGACCATCAATAAAATTAATTGATCTATGAACTGTGAATTGTGATGCTAACTTGCCCGGTACATGTAACTTGAGTTCCCCAACAGAAACAGCAGTGCAACTACGGAGGATGTCTCGACCGTGCTGGAGGATTTTATACTTGGGATATTAAGCAGAATTTGGATGGAAGGAAAGCTTGTATAAATATCCACTTTATTCTCTATAATTTTTGTATTTATCCACATAATCCCTCTGTGATTTTATATAACATGATTTCGTTATTTGATTTAGCATTTAAGCAAGGCATTGCTAGTATTTCAACTAATTTGTATAGGCTATTCTCTGCCAAGTTTTCAATTTACATGAAACTATAGGGGGTGAAATTGACATTTTAAAATATTAGCAATATCTTCTTTTTTTTTCAAAAACGATAAAAACGTCAAGAATATCATGTAATAATAGATGAAATCACAGGGGATTATTTATAATTTACCCAATTATTAATAACTTAATGACAAAAAAAAATAATGAGCCTTTGACTTGTATATCATTCATTTCCTTACAATCACTTGTGTCGTGTAGTAAAGTGATGAGTTTACTCAAGATTTAAACAGCATGAACAATTGTGTGTGTGTTTCTAAAATTGTAGCTTGTATTAAGCCTTTTGATAGGTACTCTTGATTTAGAAAATCTTTTATGGCTTACTCAACTTCATTATACTGCACATATTGATCTTACCTTGATGAAAATATCCACGTAAATATAGCAAGAGGGCAAAGTCATCGAAATCAAAATACTGGGGAAAAAAGTGGCAAGGATTGATTTCTTCGCTTCTTGATTGGTGTTACAACACTCTAAGTAGAAATTCAGATACTGATAAGAAGAAGATCAACAGAAAATGGCGCCACCAAAAACTGGTGATACAAAAGAAAAATTTAAGATTGACGTGATGGAGAGGTGGTCATGACTAATAGGGTCCGACTAAGCATTGACAACTCGACAATTCTGCCTAATCTCTCCTTCCCCATTAGTAAGTACTCCAATGGCACCCATTTTCGTCATGGATCGAGCAAATAGAGCGAAGAAAAGCCGAGGATTCTGGAGATGTGATGCTATTGTAGCTGAAAGTGGATTGGTTAACAGGGCTGAATCTGATTGAAAAACTGTCATATTTTGGCTCAAAGCCACAAAATAATGGCTATCGAAAGAGTCTGAGCTTCCAGGGTCCATTCCTAGAGTTGTGGTTCGAACAATAGGAAGAGGACAAATGGTCTTCAAGGTTTGAGCATATTCAGAGTCCAAAGAAGGATCTGTGTCTCCTTTCCCTGTGAAATTGTACAGTCTCTTCGCAACCAAACTGCAATGTGTGACTCCAATTGTATGCGCCCCTGCAATCGTTCAATCTCTTATGTTATACTGGATTCTAAATAGTCTCGTTTTCTAAAAGTCCGCAGTATAATAAGTTACCTGATAAGGTTACTAGATCGACAACGTCCAGATTATTACTCTGGAAATTCTGAAGGAGAGTGGGGAAGTCTGAAGATGGTGATGGCAACCCTGCTAATGCTTCAGAATCAACTGAAACTCTTCCGTCTTGCCTCCCAGTGAACACCTGCCACATTGGTCTTTGGAACTGCACATCATACAATAAGTTCAATTTGATAAGTACACGTAAAAGAATAAATACATTTTTTTTGGGTCGAAAGATGAAACAAACAGTCTAGCAAATAAATCCAATTTTTCCTTGATATGAATGCAATTTGTGAGCTAGCTTACTTGATATGAAACTGCATCTCTTGCTGCTAAGGCAAGAATATCAGCACAGGAGACGGCTCCTGGACATTCCTCTTCGAGAATTGACTTTACGATATCAATGAAATCAAATCCAGATAGAGATCGATTGGGTATAGCTTCTTTTTCAGATGGATTATTGGGGGTTGAATCCAGAAGAACTGATCCATCACAACCCTGCAAGAGTTGGATAAATGCTATTAGCATGTCTGCGCAATTAAACCAATTTGGCATTCAAAAGAGTCAAAAGTGTAAGAATCTGATCTGATGATAATAAACCAAGTAATGTGCTAATGTGCGTTGGATGAATTGGCGGAAAGTTGTATCCAGATTGAGTATACTACTATATACTTCAAATCTGAGAGTCCATCATACCCTGACAAAGCAGTCATGATAATGTAGCCTAAGCAGCTTGGGGGCGAGGCTGGGATTGGCACTGACATTTCTCCAAGTGATATCCCTCACAATCTGTTCAACCCCACGGCAGCTCTTACGATAATAGTTCCTCTGCAGCTCTCCTGCATTGCAAGAAAAAGAAATGAAACGACTAATTTTCTCACCATCTTGGTGTTTTTTTTTTCCCAGAGTCAAAATTATACCAAAATGTTTGCTGTAGATGGAATGAGATTCAGGGATACTTTGGGAGTTAATTTATAGGCACCGCATGTAGCTAATTACCTCAAGACATGGAACTTAATTTGAGCTAGCTAGCTGGAAATTAAAGTTTACAATGTTCTTTTGCTGGTTGTCACAGAGACATCTCAATCATAAGCTGTCTGTCAAAACTCAAAAGAATGACCAGCTCCAGTCAACTGCTAAATGAACATTGTTACATGCTTAATTATACAACAATCTAGGTGATGTTCATTGAATTATGTAGTACCGTATTTATATACTTCACCTTCACTTAGAAAAATACCAGGAAAGAACATTCTTCTGGCAAACTAAGAAGCCTAGTAGTTTCATCAAGTGTTCCTCTAATTAGTTTTGACCTTTCATTAAGAACACTTGCATTGAAAAAACATTAAAGATCTGACATTCCCTCAGATTTCTACAGACATCATTATTGTATTGGAGTTTAATTCAGGTCTCTGCATAGACCTTAATGTCTCTTAATGTCACTACTACGCACGTCCTATACAATGTCAGTACCCTGGTAATTATATTGCTCTTCAAGAAACAGGACAATCTAAGACATGGGGAACAAAATCTCCCCAATGGAATGTCAAACAAATTCTTATCTCGAAGGAAACTAACCTGGACCATTTCAAGAATTGAAAAACAAGACAAACACCAAAGATGGTGAAAAAAAAAACCATTCTTTCCACAATGAAGTGTTTACCTTCAGACAAAGGCATGATAACACACATCAACATGCGTGAGAATCACGAAATGGAGGAATTTTTCACTCGGCAATTACTCAATCTCAATGGCCCTAAGAATAAATGCCAGACTAATTTTCTTCATCTTTTGTTGAGGCTTTTTCGTACTGTACTTTCATTTGATCTCTTCTATTTTGCGTTTGGCTCATGCATGTAACTACCTTGATTTGGACGTTACTCATGGGCTTAACATGGCAAACTCAAGGCCCAACTACCTTTTAAACGTAACACGTGTGTGTGTGGAAATGTTATATTTGTTTATTAATAATCCACATTGATCATTATTTGGAGGAAAAAGAAATACAGGGTCAATACAATATGAAATGAGGTTAGCTGCTATGCAGTTTTCGAAACTTTGTGTAGATAAATAACATATTCACGTGGGTACAAAGAGGGAACTTGATCCAAAGCTTTGAAAGGAACTAAAATAAAATGAACTCGATTAATCAATTTATAGTTCTTAGACAACAAATTTGGAGGTTGGGCTGCAAGAATAAAGTATCCGGACAAATGTAACTACTACTTCACACAGCATTCTTGTTGGATCAAATTTATCCTGTTCACTTCACCCCGCTACATTTCTTCCTTATTTCTCCAGCATTTCCAGTAAGAACTCCAATTGCACCCATCCTCTTCATGGATTGTCCAAATTCAGTGAAGAATTTTCCAGCGGTAAGCATCTCATCATCAATGTTGCTTGCACCTCTGTCTGTCAGCAATGCAGCATCTGATTGGAAAAGGCCTTGTTGATGCTTGAAATTTGAGAAATAATGGTTGTCAGATGCTACAGAAATCCCAGGGTCCGTTTCTACTGTGGTTGTATTATCAGAAAGGCTTTTGCATTTTGTTCTCAAGAATGCAGCGTAGGTTGAGTTCAGAGAAGGATCTGCATCGGCTTTCCCTGTGAAATTATATAGCCTCTTTCTGAACAAGTTGCAATGTCCAACTCCAATGGTATGTGCACCTACACACATAAAAATTACATATGTCAATGTCAACATGATGTTTCAAAGTTCTAATTTTGATCTCAAATTGAGTGTTTTCGTGTAATTGTTGAAGGCCGATCAGAAACGCGTGGGAATTAGTACTCTAGAATTTTTTTTTTTTAAGTGTGAAGGAGATCGAATGAAACGTAAAATTCCGCAGATATAATTTACTCATGCGACAAAATATTTGTGACTTCAGAGATTTACATGACTATAAAGTAGGCGTTTCTTCTCCATTTTATTCTTGTAGCATGCATCTTACTTGGGAACATGTTACCTGACAAAACCACACGATCATGGACTGTAAGATTCTTGCTGGCAAAGGACTGCATGAGGGTGGTGAAGTTGGAGAATGGAGAAGGGATGTTGGCTAGAGCTTCTGATGCATGTGAAGTTCTTCCATCTCTTCTCCCACTCAATACTTCCCATATTGGCTTATTGTAATTCTTGTCCAATCGAATTACAATAAATAAAACCATAGACGTGGTTTCCAAACAGTGGTGGAGCCAGTAAGTAATATATGGAAGGAGGACCACTCGTGAACGTTTTTTGTAAGCTTTGAGAAAAATAGATATTGAATTTTTCTATAAGGCAAAAGTGATGTAAGGAGGACAATATAGTGTACTAAATCAAGATTTTAGGGGAGTGGCAAGAGAAAAACTTCATACAAATAAGTACAAAATTTTATAGACGCTAAGAGAATTTTTTGATGCTGCCTCCAAAGCTTGGCTTAAATAGTTAACTGACCCCTCAAAAAAAAAAAAAATTGTACGTCCAAATTTCAACCAATGACCTTCAGGCTAGTGGTACTATATCAGCCGTCACCCTCTAAAGTTAAATAGGAAGTATCATATGATATCCTAAGTAGTCAGAGAAAAAGGGTTGATTGGAGGAAGAAGAAGGTTTAATTACCCTAACAAAGCAGTCATGGAAATGCATTCTTAGCCGGCAATCTTGCATTGCTAGCCACATGTTTCCATGTTATGCTTTGAACAATTTGCTCAGCTTGAGAACAACTATCCTTGTAGAAGTTCATCCTCAATTCACCCCCCCACTACAAATTCTCATGTCCACCAAAATTACCAGCAGGGCAACAAATCCCCCCTTCATCTCTCTCACTTCTTGTTCTTCTTTTCCTCTGTGCGTGTGCGCGCGCGCGATCGCTCCATAATAACCAATGCATGCGTTCTTATATACGTCCTCTTTCTGGTTATTACGTCCGACATGCAAATAGGTTAGTTGAATTTTTTTATCTCAGAGGAGGGGAAATTGCTTTGAATTAATAACGTTACATGAGAAAAAAATTGATATATCAGCCATGGTTTTGCCCCAGAATATGAGAAAAATGTATAATATATATATGATGAATTATTTCTGTTATATATTGATGAATCTCAAGAGATAAAGGATGCATAGACAGACCTCAGTTACATGCACTTTCTGGTTGGTGGTGGTAGCTTAAACGGTTTTTCCTAAGCAGATTTGTTTGACTAATATAAAATTTTGCCAACAAAATTAGTTGGATCCGCCAGGCCTTGATGACGGTTTTGTTTCGAAAAGTTTCATTGGCTTGGCTTAGATAAGTAAAACCCTTGCGAGATTTGATCAATTCCATATACTCTGTCAGTCTTATTAGGAGTATTATTATTGTCTCATTGGTCAAGTATTTGGAGAAAGGAAGTTAGTTGATTTCCATTGATTCATTCTTTTGTGCCTAAACTGAAGGTAATAAATCGCATTAATTTTTCATCAAATGAACTTTTTTGTACTACTGATTTTAGGATGGAAGCACCTCTTTCAAGAAAACCACATCTTGACACTAAAAAAGTACTAATAAACATGTTTAAGGCAGAATCGTAAGTAAATGTGGTTTATCCATCTGCAAATCCACAAGTAGAGAATTATGCTAAAAGCTAGTCAAACAAAGTTAGCATGTAGTACTTGTTCAGTTTCTAATTCTTTCCTTTTTCTCTTAATTAATTGTAGGAGCCAAAGCCAATTGGGCAAGCAGATGAACAGAAACTATCCAATTCTACTTGTGGTTATATTGCTCGGAATATCTACTTTGTCCAACTGTTATCTTGTACCATTTGAGGAAGATACAAAGAAATTTGCTCGTTTATTACAATCCACATGCATGAAACCAAAAGAAAATCAGAGAAGAAGAAATGTTTAAGAAAAAAAATGCTGTATTAAAACTTCAAATAATTACTACGATTCATGGAAAACCAGCTGCCAAGCAAGTCTCCCAGAAAAGCCTGTCTCCCTCAGTTTCATGCTCCACTTCCGTACCGATACGTTCAACAAAAGTACCAAGTCTTGATTCTTCTATCACCTCTTCTGGATCATAATTGACCACAGCATCATTTGAATCTCTAAAATCTTTACCATCGAATTCCCTGAGCTCGTTGGAACTGGATGATTCTGCATCATCTTGATCACCAGCTAAAGGAAGCCCGTCAAGAAAATTCATCCACATAAGATTGCATATACTATAGCACAAGCTTGCTTCAGCATTTTCAAGGGAATTGGGATTACCCTCGGAATCTCCACTGGCCTCCAAGAGAAAAAGAAAATGGTACAATTGACTACTGCACCTCCAATCCATCGCCGTCAAGCAAGAAAAGTACGAGAACGCTGGCTGGACAGTGCTTTAAGAGCCTATTTATTTGCATTCTTTTGTGATGCTAATTAATATGATGATGACTTTAACTGGTGTAATGTTAGAAGTTTCAAAGTCTTGCTTAGTACTCTCAGTTAAGTGGGATATGATTATTTCAACACTCCACTCCATGTAGGGGTTAGACTAATTTTAATGGTGGAGTTTTTCGTGAAGCACCTGTAACTTTTGGCAATTCAATAAACACTTTGCATGGCTTTGATTTGGAGGCTTACCTGATGTGCTTGAGTGCTGTGTGATCTCAATTTCTAGATGCGGGTTAAGTTACATCTAGTGCTAATGCGCCACTATCAATTCATTTGGGTTCTGCCGACGATTTACCACTTCAAAAATTTGACACAGCCAAGGATTTGACAAGCCTAATGGAGTATGGTACCCTTCTATGTCTCCTTTACTTCAATAATCTGACAAGTCGTAAATAAGAAAAAGCAAAATTTTCACCATCCCCCAATGAGGTATGGTAGTTCAGGCTACACAGTCATTTAACAATGATCAAAGGTATGAAAGTAAATTAAGATTCGACAACCGAGTCCAACTACAACTAAAAATTATCATAATCTGGAAGTGTGCTTCCAATATGCAAACCAGAGAATACTCAGCAAAGTTCATGAAACCCTCCGCGAAAATTTCAATCCTATCGGCTGAAGTAGCCTTTATGATGATCTTCAAAACAAAATTCTGAGTGCCTGCACAACTGCAAGTGGAAAAAGGAATCCCATGAAAACAATAACCTGAATCTTACAACATTCTCCAAGATCATGAAAACATAATGGAATTATTATTCCATTGTCAGTGAAAAGCTAACAACATGTTCTGGCCATATGAACGTATGTTTCACATAGCACAAATTCATTAGACACCCTTGTGTTGATGTCAACTATATAAAGAAAAATTGCGATAAAGTTCAGGATAACTTCTCTTTAAAATAAATTTGATATCCCCCTTCTAAATAGTAAGATTGAAAAAGGATACAAGGCATCTGTTTTGTCCACATCTATTTCAGTTTAACAAACGTCCAAGACCCAAGACCCTCAAACTCACCCAGACCATCATGTAAATGTTTTGCTCGTAAATTCATTTGACTACATCAACTACACCTTAATTTGAGCTCTATGTTTACTAGGAAAATTCACTTACAATTTGAGTGACAAAATTGAATTAAACTCATTTTCAGCTTTTGGTAAGTTGGTCTAAATCGAACATTTTGTGGTTGCTTTACAAGCCTTCTACAAGAGTATTGCAATAAAGCACAACAACCCGTAGGGAAGGCAAACACTTTGTTAGTTTGATCATGAGAAATTCAGTGTTGGTCAAGTTTTGCTAAGATTTCAAATAGCTGCTTCTTTAAGTTAACAAAAGGAAGAGCAGAAAGCGAAAATGTTGCTTTAGTGCTTCAGCTTATGTAACATTCTAATAACAACCATCTAGAAGAAAGAGAAAATAGACAAATTTATCAATAGATGCCAATTATTACATTATATCTAGTTGAATTTCTTTGAATATTTGAGGTAAATGATATTTGCACTACAAAATGATCCTCTGGCACTCCACCTTTCTTCAAGTAATAAAATGCTAGAATGGAGTGCCAAGAGCTAGTCTTGGAGTGCAAATATCACTTGCTTTTTGAGGATGAAACTCAACATAAGAATCAAAATTTGTGAAAGACTAGGTGCTCAGACCCTGTGTATTGAACATGACAGCAAACAATATCAGATGCTGTAGGCTAAATTAGAAAATTATATCTCTAATAGAACAGTCAAGTTCCATTCTTCCTACTTTAAATAGTTTCACTTGGCATGTATTTTGATTTGTGAATTACAGTCACCATCAGACAGAATTTAAGAATGGACTATGAGAGGAATATTTAGGAAAGAAGACCTCCAAAACGTAGCTAGGGCCTAGGAACTTTTCCTAGTTCCTGCATCAACATGCCTCCAAGGATTCAAAGCTTCTCTCCTAGCTTGAGCTTCAGGACTATTCTCCCAAACTCTCTTCTCTGACTCCAAAACAGTTACTTTATCATCTGCCAAGACAAAAATTGTATTAATGAGCTGGAGTACTTGTAAAAACCACCCAAATGAAGTTGAACAAATTACTGCATATTTGCTACTTTCTAAATTCTTCTCTTGGTACAGAAACTCAATCAAACATAATGTACACAAAGTCAAAATACCCTTTAATCAACTAAAACAAACCAAAGGTTGCTTACAAAATCAAAGATACTGCTTCATACCCATAAGCCATTAGAGCTTAATCACCATTAGAGCTTAATCATTTATCAAAACAAACTAAGAAGCATTAACAGAGCTCTCAACTACCATAGCTCAGTCATCTATTGGGAGCTCAGGAAATGACCATAATGTTGAAGTAATGATCCATGGGAAAGATATATCAGTGTAAATGATGATTAACACCATATCTATGGAAGCAGATAACAGTAGACTGCTTATAATTCAATTAAACAGAAAACAGACGTTTAGCACTATTTTATGAAGCATAAACGTTAAACCACAACATCCTTATAGACTCTCTTTTTCATCCATTCTCATGATCTGAAATCCAAAGAAATACCACCAATTAAGTAAAGGGTAGTATAAGTCTTCAACCTTAATCAAGTTTAATCATCCAAAACCCCAAATTGTCTGAATTTGCAAGCAAACATTCAGCATTAATCCATTAAAGCATTAGTTGACTGAGTCCATTAAAAGAGATCAAATTTTACTACAACCCGCAGAAAAAAGATCACATTTTTAAGTAGCCAAAATTTTAAAGTATAACACATTTCCTCAAGTTTAGTCA